CCCGAGTATGGGTGCCCCTCTCCCCCTTCCCAGGCCTGGGCCCGAGTAGGGACGGATCGAGGGCGTCCCACACTTTCGCCCGACGGAGCACCGACGTGCAATGCCTACACGCGCGGAACCTTCTTCTCCCCAGCGACAGGAGACTACCCATCGCGGAGTGGAGGTCCCCCAAACCCAGATCACCCCAAGGTTGGTGGCGGAGCAAGTTCCCCCTAACGGTCCCAGCAGGTCTGGCGATTGGAGTCAGGGCCGCCAACCCCTACCGGCAATTGAGCCTATCGGTCCTGTGGGAGTTGCCGGGCTCCCCGGGCTCCCCTGCAGTGGAGGGTCTTTCGATCCCCTCTAGCAAAAGCGGGGCTGCAGCCCACCGCGGTCCGGTTTTCGGTGTGGGTTTTCCTTCCCCGTTGCCGCCGTTAGCCAGCGATCCTCAGGTAGGGACCTCCCCTCCGGCCGAAGCCGAAAGGTACTGCCGCCAAGCCTTCATCGGATCGCCGGTACTCCTCCACCACGCTAAGGTGGCGGCACGGAGGGGACACTTGGCAAAACCTAGGTTAAAATTGGAGAAAAACTTTTTCTGACGCATGATATCGTTAGATTTTCGTTTGCACGTTTCAAAACAAGTCGAGTTTTCGTTTGCACACCTCTAGAAAAAAAATAATTTAACATTGAATTTGGGGGGGCTAACTTCAGACTTTGCAAAACTTATAATTCCACAAACAATTGTCTGACGCATGATAACATTAATTTTACTTTAGATATTTTAATTTCAGTTTAATATTTTCATGTTTATTGTTTTAGGATTTGAATTCTAACAAAAACTTTTTCACTGTAAATATTTTCTTTTAGTACTCTACATAACAAGTTTATTTTTCCTTTTATGTTTGTCAGTTATATAAGTATATAGTTTATTGTACACATATTTCCATCATATTATAAAAAGTTTTATATATTTTATTTTTATTATACATTTATTTGGATTATTGTGATTTCCCAGTAAACGCTAGATATTCACTGGAATATTCACCAAATGTTCCACAAATCCAATAATAATATGTCAATAATATGTTAATAATATGTTGCTGTATTACCAGATTAGTTCTAACTGTTTCCTTTAACTCATACATGTGTGGTTAGATAGAACACTCTGTTTTGTATTCAACACTAATTTTTTTATATTTACGAAATATATACTTAATACCCAATAAGCAATTTGACCGCAGACTGCGCACACCTTTGATCAAAAGTCGACACCAAAACTGTAGTCCCTATTGAGCTACGTTTTTGGCGATAGAGCCTGCTGTTGGTCAATTGTTGCAGATGTGCAGCATAAACCGCGCTGAACTTGCCGCGCGACAGGACTCGCGCTGTTTCTGTTGCCAATCGGCTGTCAGATCGTTGCAGGCTTTGCCCGGTTTTTGCAGCAAA